CCCCCCCCCCCCCCGTGAAAAATGGCGGCTTGTCGAGTGAGGTTTAGTTAAAGCGTCCCAACCGACATTTTTCAGCACAGGGATACTGTGCGCATGACCCTGGAGTCTGCTGGGGTGAGGTAATTACCATGCTCCAGTAGACTCAGTTAATCAAGTCTGCTTCCACGTGCTGTAATTACAGCGCGTAGGAACAGCCTTGCTGCATATGTATAGGCGCCCATAGGTCCTAGGGTACCTCAGACAACCAAAGGAAGGGGTACTAGCATTCTGGTTTTTGGACCAGGAAAGTCAAACTGTTGCTCTGAGCAGGAATAGAAGATGGATATCTCCAGTTATTGGAGGGATCTTGCTTGACCAATGTAGATGTGCTTAAACACAGACGTTGCAGTTTGCAGCTTGCATACACCAGTGCAGCATAAACAGAAACCTGAACCTGTCCCTGCAAAAGCTCAGAAGTTATAAAACTCTTCTTCCCATGCAGATAGACATTTACAATCTTTATTGGCCCTTACGTGGCAGTGCGGATATGTTTCCATGGCGAGTTTGGTATACTGACCACGCTGATTGATGTATGCATATGCACTATGAAACACGGGTATATAACAGCAGATTTATAAACGAAAGTCACCAGAACCTTGGCGAAGATGCCAAGGAGACGGATAAAGGGAATTTTCATGGCAATGGAATGGAAGTCTATTCAGAAAAATGCCGCTTTACCTTTCTGTGGAGGATTTGCTGCTTGCTGACAAAGGGTCTATTAGCAGAAGCAACAGATGTGACCAGCCTAGTAGCAGCCGCTGCCCACTTCAAACTGGGGAGAGATACAGTATTGCTGAAAGAGAGATCATGTTAACAGTAGTGCACTTATAAATGCATAGGCGATACCTATTATTGCGGTCAGATGAATGAGGAGGTATGTTATTTCCTTCCCTCCCATTCCTCATAAAGTGGTGCAACTAAACTTCTGCTTTACATTTACAATCACTAAATAAACCAGTTAACTCTGTAAACTCTTAACAAGCTCTGTAGATGTCTGGAAGTGTACTTCTGAGAAATGTCAGATTCCCCAAATGCTTCAAGTGCTCTTAAGTCGAGCCCAGTCAAAGTAGCATAGCATGTCTCCACTGCTTTGCTATCTGCAATGGACCAAGAGGGTCCAACGTGCAAAGTGCTGAATGTCTGCAAGAAGTTTTAACCCAGTTTTGGCATCTCAGTGGGGTTGATGGAAATAGGGGTGGGGGTTATCCCTTGTGTCAAAGGATGTTGCCCCAAACTCTTCTTCACATAGGAATTCACTGAAAACTGGAGGTAAATATTTCCTCTTTGGTTTCATCCTAGGGATCATGGCAGGGATCTTTCAAGATAACACTCCAGGGATTTGCAACCCTGCATACAGAAGCTACATGTGATCCCCTACTGCCCTACTTGAAGGGCAGCTTAATTGCTTCATGGCTGGAGG